CAGATGTGCCCGATGCATCCTCCCTTACCATCTGTCATTGCAACAAGCCATGTTGGGAGCAGTATAAAATCACCAAGGACAGGCTCGTTAACCTCATTCTCTATTGACTACAAATTATTACAAAAACACATTCTATGAAAGCTCTGTGAGGCAGATCCCATTTCCTATCTGAATTGGCACCAAATGCAGTTTTTACTGGCAGTTTTAGCAGACTGGATTTTCAACAGGAAGAGATGTATAATTAATCCCTCAGTTCCAGAGGGATGAAAGCGGTTATATTTCTGTTATAAAAGCACTGTAATTGCTATCACTCTAAATTTAACACCCCTTTCCCCCTACCTTTTGACTAATTCAAAGACCTTCACAGTTCTTGGTACATTATTAAAAATCTTGGGAGATGATTTTCCATCAAAGCTGCTTATAGATATAAAGTGGTTTAATCTACGATTTGTAATGTGAATAATGCTATATGCAAATTTTATAGTTAAACATTTGTTTCTAAATGGGTGAAATTATAGAAGAAATAGAACTGTTTTAACAACTGTTACTTAATTTAAAAATAAATGAGGCAATAATGCTAACATTTACTGCATGCTTACTAGGTGCCAGATGCTATTCAAAGCGCTTTACATTAATTTGGTCATGATAATTAATCCCATGAGTTAGATCCAATTAATAGCTCCATTTTACAGGTAAGGAAACTGAGGCAGAGGTCATATGTTAACAAATGAAAGTGCCATGTTTCATATCCACTCATTCTATCTCCAAAGCCCAGACTCAAACTCTGTGCTCTTTAGGGAATAAGAGGGCAGAGAAATACACTCAGATAGAAGACAGTCAAGATGTGGGCAGAGAAAACATACATAACGCCAAACGTCCAAATATCCATTTAGTCAGTATCTTTTCACCTCAATACGTGAAAGGGTGTAGGGAACTGAAAAAAAGTGTATTCTAGAAATAAAACTTGATTGACTACTTAACCAGGGCAAGTGGATTTAACCTAACATGTAAACAATATCTCTTCCTTCCCAAGTACTGAAAGGGAAGTGAATTTGATACTAAACTTGTGAGCTCCTCAGAAATTTGCCATATATGTTTTAAAGAGGTGTTTTCCGGCTTTAAGAAGATTCAATCTTCACTGTCTAAGCAAAAAATACTTGGAAACAAACTATAATGAAAAATATTTCATTGCAGGCATTTTGTAATGATGCTTCCTCAACACTCTCTCTTTTTTTATTATTATGTTAGTCACAAGGACTTTTTTACTTTTAAGGAAGGAGGGGAGCATTGTTCCATATTACTGAATAGGGAAGTCCTCAGCCACCCTAGCAGCCCCTCCTCTGCTCACACAACCAACATCTTCTCGCCTTTTCAGTTCTTCATAGCAAATTGGTGTAAATGGCACTTTTCAACCATTCCTGCCATTCACTGCAGGTAAGAGCATGAATGTCCAACAACATCTGCTTTGAACGCTAGCTCTGCAATTCTTAGCAAGTCCTTTCACCTCTATGTCTCCCCATGAGGTCAGCAACAGTGTCGACTCCTTCACTGAGGGGCAGCAAAGGGTTAAGGCGTTAAGACATGGAAGCATTTAGAGCAGCTCCTGGCACACAACAAATGCTCTGTAAATGTTAGATTTATTCTTATAGTCTTGTAGCAAAATACTCCCAAGACGTCATCACAAGCATCCTCAGACATGAGAACACCCTGTGATAAGGAACACGTAATACTTCCATAATGAAAGGGGGAAGGAGGGAAGAAGAAAAGGAAGGGAATAGCACATTTGTCAACAAAATGTGTCCAATCTGAGGAAAATCTATGCTCTTTGGGGTGTATGTCTGAACATAAGTGAGGGTACATTAAATTAATCTATCAGGAAGTTCTAAACTGAGAGGTGCACTGAATATACATTTTGGCTGGGTGCCAGATCAGCCTGAGTGTTAGATCAGCATTCGGATAAAGCGGAGATCAGAGAGCATCACTGTCACCAGATGTACTTCTCAAATGCAAACGTAATTTTGAAATTATCAAAAAACTGTAATAGTATTATTGTGATAATTTTAAAGTTTGACAGGGCAGTGCAGAAACAAGAACTTCACAGCACGGTGGGCCACTGGATGGCCATGCCCCTGCACCACGGCCCAGCTCCTGCAGTTCTAACTAGACGCTCACTGTCCACTGCAGTCAGCAGAGAAGAGGGGGGTCTGCCAGCTAGCTCTGCTAGGACCCTGCAGACCGTGAGACTGTCACCAAATCATTAAGTACTATTTTGTCTTCCAGAGTAGCCAACTGAATTATTTTGTCTAATATTATGAAAGCTAGAGTACCTCACTCAATTCCATAGATTAGAGTTATGCTGTAATTGACTCTATTATTCTGCCTTACATAGCCTGAATTTGTATAAATGGTTTATTGGCTCAAAAAAGATACAATTTTTCCTGAAGGTGTCTAGTTAACTCACTTTCTCAACATTCCTATAAACTTTAATCTACTTCCTTAGTTAGCTGTCTAAATATTCATATTGTTAACTTATTTCTTTAATTCAAAATATTTCTTAGTTGTTCTGAATAGTAAATTAACAGCTTCCATCATTGCATCATTGCAGCATTTTACTCTTGCAATAAGGAGAATAATGACAGCAGATATTTATACAGCACACGCACGCGCACACACACACAGCCAACCAGTCCTTATAACAACGCTAAGATGTAGGTACTATTATTATTCCCATTTTACACATGAAGAAAACTGGCACAGAGAGAATAAATAACCTGCCCAAACTAGTACGTGGCAGGGTTGGGACGTGAACCCACATGCTGGCCAGGGGTCTGTGATCTTGACCACTGGACACCTTGCCTCTCGGCAGCTGAAGAATGAGGAAGAGTTAAATCAGGGAAGAGTGAAGGGGTCTGGAAGTGAGGTAGGGGAAAAAAGGCCACAGCACTTGCAGCAGCACCCTGGCATGCGTGGGGCGGGGGCAGGAGAAAGGGGCTTGCGAACGCCAGATGGGGCCACGTGCTGCACCCACAGAAGGCACCTGAGCAGCGGCACTTGAGGGCTCTGAGGGGCACAGACCGTGCAGGACTGTACAGGTCAGATCAAGGGGCGGGAAAAAGAACAGCAAGCCCCTGGGGTCTTGCACCAGGGGTGAGGACATGAGACCAGAATGCTAGTGTGAAAGCCACAGTGCTGTGGAAATGGCTGGTCGAAGGTGAGAAAGCACAAAGCCCCGTGACAGACCGGATGAGAGGACGGTGAGGAGTGGAGATGAGAGGAGATGAGAAGGTATCTATTACCAGGGCAGGGTGACAGACTGGATTTGGGGGAAGGAAGAGGGTCGAGAAGAAGGAAGTCTCAAGGGTGACTCCTAGGTTTCTGATTTGTGCAACTGGATGGATGGCAACGGGCTGTTCCACAAGATGGAAACACCTGATGAGGACAGAGGTTTCTGGACTTCTCCTGGACATGTACAGCAGGAGGAGCATCTGCGATGTCTATGGGGAGGTGTCCCAAGTAGGCAGCTAAATACACACACCCGGAGCCCACGCTGACGGTGGGAGCCAGAGATACAGTCTGGGGTCCGCACATAAATGACTATTCAAGCTGCAAAGGTGCATGAGATCCTATAAAGGACACTAAAAAGAGGGCCTGTGGCAGAGCCCTGAAGAACTCAACATTTTAAAAGACCAGAAAGACAAGGATGAGTCTGCAAAGGAGGCGCTGAGAGGCAGAAGGAAAACCAGAAGAGTACAGATATCACAGAAACCAGGGAAGGCAAGCTTAAGAAGAAATCAATAAAGCCAAATGCTCTGACAGGTCAAGAAAGATGCTGAAGGAAACATCTATTAGGTGTGGAGACATGTGGTGACTGTTTCCGAAGGGCAATGGGGACAGAGCCAGACCTGGAGTGAAGTGAGGCTTAAGTGAGAAGAGAGGAAATGAAGAAAGAGTACATACAATGCTGAGAAAGGTAGCTGAATGAGAATGTGGGGCAAGAGTAGCAGATTTAAAATAGGTGACACTGAGCATGCCGAAACTGTTGATAAAGACCAAAGTGGGGAGGAAGGTGAATATACCTCAAAGGGAGGGAGCTGACAGTGTGAGGTTTCTCCACAGGAACAGGATCCAAAGCCTGAGCAAGTGGCAGGAGAGATGGCGCCTCTATCTGACCACGAGGGAAGGAGGTTCGGAGGCAAGCCGGTGCAGGCCGGTTTGTACCTCTAAGAGTGGAAAGATGATAAAGTTCCCATCTGATGGCTCCCAATTTCTGTGTGACATAGGAGGCAAAGTTGTATCCAGAAAACGAAAGAGGTGGTGTGGGTATGGGAAGGAGCGGGGGAGGGGAAAGTGGGGGCGGTGTCAGGGTTTTAAGGAGACACAAAGGATGGAATTGATCTTTGTAAAGAGCGGGAGAAAGAGTGAGCGCAAGAAAAGAGGAATGCTGGGCAGTGTTGAGGGCTCGTTTCAGAATGCAGGGGATTGAGAACTTACAAGGGTTCCTGTTGGCTCTGCGGTGTGAGCTGCAGTGCTCAGCCTGAGGGTGCAGGGAGAGAGAAGGCAGACAGCTGGTGGTCATCCAGGAGGTGGGTTCTGCTAGCAAGGCACAACAAAAGATCCAAGGGCAAGGGAGTTTAAGGACTGGGCAAGGATGCTAGAAGTGGATCAGGGACCTCAGCTCCATGAAGAAAGAGGGAGGATGGACTCAGAATAAAGGGACAAAAGATGAGGGTCCTGATAAAGGAAGATTAATTACAGTACAAGCTGCTGATGGAAAAGAGGATGTGGGCACTGGGTGGAATACCTAAACTTAACTCATTAATTATCATTAATAATCAGTCACTAGATTACTTGAATTATTAATGAGTTCGATTATTCATTAATATATCAAGATCAACATTCTGTGATATAATAAAAGGTGAGCTTCCTGCTCAGTGAAGGACTCTTAGGAATCGTTGAGAAAAAGACCAACAATCCATGGGGAAAATGAATAAAATACCCACTTGGCTGGAGATTCCTCCTCCAGGGGGCCGGGGGACTCTTCCACCGCTGTGGTCTCTTCCATTGGTGCAGTCTGCTCCACGTCACTGAAAAGCAGTGAGAATCATTCTGGTCACACAAATATGTTCACATCAATGCTCTTACATATACAAGATAAAAAAAAATACATTTTGGGGGCGCCTGGGTGGCTCAGTTGGTTAAGCATCTGCTTTCGGTTCAGGTCATGATCCCGGAGTTCCAGGATTGAGTCCCACATGGGGCTCCCTGCTCAGCAGGGAGTCTGCTTCTCCCTCTGACCATCCCCCCTTCTCATGTTCTCTCTCTCAAATAAATAAAATAAAATCTTTAAAAGTAAAAAAAAAATACATGTTAATATCCTTTTTTGTAAGTAAATACCATTCAAGTAATTATATACACAAACAGGTAATCTGCATCAAAATGAAAATGAGAAAACTGCTAATCCACTGAAATTACTTGAAAGATGTGAAAAGTACTTTTAGAAAAAGAAGTTTCTACGAATGGCCTAAAATTAAAAATAGCTTATAATAAACAAGAACAATTATTTAAAACTCTTACTGTCCTAGGAAATTTCAGGTATTAGCAGAGGCCATAAAATTTCTCAACCTGTGCTTTTAGAATGTGTTCAAATTTAAGCGACCATCAACAATACAGATTGCTAAATACATAGGATGTCATATATGAACCTCACGGTAATCACAAACCAAAAACCTGTGATACACAAAAAATAAAGAGAAAAGAATCCAAACATAATATTAAGAAAGTCATCAAATCACACGCGAAGAAAGCAAGAGAATAAAGGAAAAGAAAAAAAAAAAAAAAAAACAACCAGGAAACGATTAACAAAATGGCAGTAATGCACACCTATCAATAACTGGACTAAATGCTCCAATAAAAGATGTAAGGTGACTGAATGGATAAAAAAAGCAAGACCCATCTGTATTCTGCCTACAAGAGACTCACTTAGACCTAAAGACATACACAGGCTGAAAATGAAGAGATGGAAAAAACATTTATCACACAAATAGAAGCAAAAAAAAAAAAAAGCTGGGGTATCAATATTTTTATCAGACAAAATAGACTTTAAAACAAAAACTCTTAACAAGAGACAAGGAAGAATACTATATAATGATAAAGAGATCAATCCAAGAAAAGAATATAACAATTATAAATATCTATGCACCCAACACAGGAGCACCTAAACATATAAAGTAAATGTTAACAGACATAAAAGGAGAAATCAATAGTGATACAGTAATAGTACAAGACTTTAACACCCACTTACATTAATGGATAGATCATCCAGACAGAAAATCAATCAGTGGCTTTGAAAGACACATTAGGCCAGATGGACTTAACAGATATAGAACAAACCATCCCCAAACAGCAGAATATACACTCTTTTCGAGTGCACTTGAAATATTCTCCAGGATAAATCACATGTTAGGCCACAAAATAGGTCTCAATGAATTTAAAAGACTGAAATCATATCAAGCATCTTTTTCTGATCATAATATAAAGCCAGAAATCAATTACAATAATAAGACTGGAAAAAACACACCCATGTAGATGCTAAGCAACATGCTACTAAAAAACCAATGGGTCAACAAAGAAATCAAAGAGGAAATCAAAAATACCTTGAGACTAATGAAAACACATTGGTCCAGGGGCACCGGGGTGGCTCAGTCGGTTAAGCACTGCCTTCAGCTGAGGTCATGATCCCAGGGTCCTGGGGTCAGGCTGCCTGCTCAGCAGGGAGCCTGCTTCTCCCTCTCCCTCTGGCCCTCCCCTGGCTTGTGCTCTCTTTCTCTCTCTCAAAGAAATAAAATCTTTAAAAACAACAACAACAACGCAATGGCCCAAAATCTTTGGGACACAGCAAAAGCAGTTCTAAGAGGGAAGTTTATAACAATGCAAGCCTATCTCAAAAACCAAGAAAAATCTCAAACAATTTAACTCTACACCTAAAGGAACTAGAAAAAGAGGAACAAAGCCCAAAGTGAGTATAAGAAAAGAAATAATAAAGATCAGAGCAGAAATAAATGAAATAGAAACAATAAGCACAATGAAAAGGTTCATGAAACTAAGAGCTGGTTCTTTGAAAAGATAAATAAAATTGATAAACCTTTAGCCAGATTCATCAAGGGAAAAAAAAATAAAAAGAGAGAACCCAAATAAATAAAATTGCAAATGAACGATGTTATAACTGACACTACAGAAATACAAAGAATCATAAGAGACTACTACAAAAAATTATACACCAACAAACTGGACAACTAGAAGAAATGGATAAATTCCTAGAAACAAACAATCATCCAAGACTGAACAGGAAGAAATAAAAAATCCGTAACTGGCCAATTATTAGTAATGAAATTGAGTTAGCAATAAAAAAAACTCTAGGAGTAGATGGTTTCATAGGTAAATTCTATCAAATATTTAAAGAAGAGTTAATATTTATCCTTCTCAAACTATTCCAAAAAATAAAGACGAAGAAATGCTTCCAAATTTACTCTACGAGGCCAGGATTACCCTTACACTGAAGTAAAAAAAAAAAAAAAAGACACTACAGAAAGAATTACAGGCCAATATCCCTGGTGGACATAGATGTAAAAATCTGTAACAAAATATTAGCAAACAGCGTTCAATTCATTTACCATGATCATATTGGATTTATCCCAGGAATGCAAGGATGAACTCAATACCTGCACATCAATCAACGTGACCTACCACATTAACAAAATGAAGATGAAAATGATATGACCATCTCAATAGATGCTGAAAAAGCAATTCACAAAATTCAACATCCATTCATGATAAAAACTCTCAACACAGTGGGTATAGAGGGAACATACCTCAACATAATAAAGGTCATATATGAAAAACTCATAGCCAATATCATACTCAATGGTGAAAAACTGAAAACATTTCCTCTAAGATCAGGAACAAAACAAGGATGTCCACTCCCACCACTTTTATTCAACATAGTACTAAAAGTCCTAGCCACACCAATCAGACAAGAAAAAGAAATAAAAGGCATCCAAATAGGTAAGAAATAAAACTGTCACTATTTGCAGATGACATGATAATATACATAGAAAACCCTAAATTACCCACCAAAAAATCATTAGAATAAATGATTTCAGTAAAGTTGCAGGACAAAATGAATATACAGAAATCTGCTGCATTCCTATATATTAATAATGAATTAGCAGAGACATTACAAAACAATCCCATATACAATTGCATTAAAAAGAATAAAATGCCTATGAATAAACTGAACCAAGGAGGTGAAAGACCTGTACTGTGAAAACTATAAGACACTAATAAAAGAAATTGAAGACAACACAAATAAATGAAAAGATACTCTATGCTCATGGATTGAAAGAAATAACATTGTTAAAATGTCCAGGCCACCACAAAGCAATTATAGATTCAATGCAATCCCAAAATGCCAATGGTATTCTTCACAGAACTAAAACAAACAATCCTAAAGGTGTATGGAACCACAAAAGACCCCAAACAGCCAAAGCACACTTGAGAGAAGAACAAAGCTAAAGAGATCACAATCCCAAATTTCAAACTATACTACAAAGCTGTAATAACAAAACAGTATAGTACTGATACAATAATAAAGATATAGATCAATGCAACAGAAGAGAGCCCAGAACTAAACCCATGCTTATATGGTCAATTAGTCTATGACAAAGAAGGCAAGAACATGCAATGGGGAAAAGACAGCCTCTTCAACAAGTAGTATTGGGAAAACTGGACGACTACATGCAAAAGGATGAAACTGGACCACTTCCTTACACCATACACAAAAATAAAATCAAAATGGATTAAAGACCTGAATGTAAAAACTGAAACCATAAAATCCCCGAGAGAGAGAAAGAAAGAAACAAATAAACCATAGGTATGAAACTCCTGGACATCTGTTTAGCAATATTTTTCTGTATCTGTCTCCTCAGCCAAGGGAAACAAAAGCAAAAACAGACTATTGGGACTACATCAAACTAAATAAAAAGCTTTGCACAATGAAAGAAACCATCAAGAAAATGAAAAGGCGACCTACTGAATGGGAGAAGATCTTTGAAAAGGGGTCAATATCCAAAATATATAAAGAACTCATACAACTCAACACCAAAAAAACCTAACAGTCCAATTTAAAAATGGGCAGAGGAGTTGACTAGACACTTCTCCAAAGAAGACATACAGATGGCCAACAGATACATAAAAGATGCTCAACATCACTCATCATCAGGGAAATGCAAAAATCAAAACCACAATGAGATACAATCTCACACCAGTCAGAATAGCTAGTATTAAAAAGACAAGAAGTAATAAGTGTTGCTGAGGATGTGGAGAAAAGGGAATCCTTGTGCACTGTCGGTGGGAATATAAATTGGTGCAGCCACTATGGCAAACAGTATGGAGGTTACTCAAACAATTAAAATAGAATTACCCTATGATCCAGCAATGCCACTTTGGATATTTACCCCACCCCCCAATGAAAAGATGAATTGTATGTATGTATGTATTTACTTATTTATTTATGAGATTGATTAAGAGAGAGAGTGCGTGCACAAGCGGGGAGAGGGGCAGAGGGGGAGAGAGAATCCCAAGCAGACTCCCCACCAAGCATGGAGCCTGATGCAGGGCTCAATCCCACAACCTGAGTCAAAATCACAAGTCAGACGCTTAACCAACTGAGCCACTCAGGTGCCCCAAAAGATGAATTCTATTTTTTTTATTTTTTTTTTAATTTTATTTATTTATTTGAGAGAAAGAGAGCAAAAGCACGAGCAGGGTGAGGGGCAGAAGGGAGAAGCAAACTCCTCACCGAGCAGGAAGCCCGAAGCGGCACTTCATCCTGGGACTCCGGGATCATGACCCATGCCAAAGGTAGACGCTTAACCAGCTGAGCCACCCAGGATCCCCAAAAGATGAATTTTAAAAGATATATGCACCCTTTTATTTATTGCAACATTTACAATAGTCAAGATATGGAAGAAATCAGGGGCGCCTGGGTGGCTCAGTCGTTAAGCATCTGCCTTCGGCTCAGGTCATGATCCAGGGTCCTGGGATCAAGCCCCGTATCGGGCTCCCTGCTTGGCAGGAAGCCTGCTTCTCCCCCTCCCACTCCCCCTGCTTGTGTTCCCTCTCTCGCTGTGTCTCTCTCTGTCAAATAAATAAATAAATAAATCTTAAAAAAAAATTTCCTTTATAAAAAAAAAAAGATATGGAAGAAATCTAAGTGCCCACTGACCGATGAATGGATAAAGATGTCCTATATATGTACAATGGGATATTATCAGCCATAAAAAAGGATAAAATCTTGCCATTTGTGACAACATGGATGGACCTAAAGATATTATGGTAAGTGAAGTAAGACAGAGAAAGACAAATACCATGTGCTTTCACTCACACATGTAATCTAAAAAACAAAACAAATGAAGAAAAAAAGACTCATAAATACAGAGAACAAACGGGCAGTTGCAGTAGGGGCATAAACAAGTCCTGGAGATGAAAAGTACAACATAGGAAATATAGTCAGTAATACTGTAATACTTTTTATGATGGTGACAGACGGAAACTACAGTTAATGTGGTAAGCATTTCATAGTGTATATCATTGTTAAATCACTATGTCATGCACCTCAAACTAATACAATATTGTATGTCAACTATAATTCAATAAAAAATAAAAAAAATTCTCAACCTACAAGTGTCAAATGACTCACAATACACAAGAATACACCGTATCAAACTTTTAGAAAATGATGGAAACATTCCACAATAATGAGTGTGCAGAAAACAAACAGGCTGGTGATAACTGTGCCAGAAAAATAAGGCTCTGAAACATCAATTTATATACCATCACATCTAAATACAACCTACAGATTAGAAATTATAGCACAATGAGACACAATTTGAGTTCTAATACACATGATCTTAAATTTTCCTTTTTATGTTAGCATTAATCCTACATGATTATTACTTTAAAAAAACCAGTCCCGGGGCACCTGGGTGGCTCAGTCGTTAAGCGTCTGCCTTCGGCTCAGGTCATGATCCCAGGGTCCTGGGATCGAGCCCCGCATCGGGCTCCCTGCTCTGCGGGAAGCCTGCTTCTCCCTCTCCCACTCCCCCTGCTTGTGTTCCCTCTCTCGCTGTGTCTCTCTGTCAAATAAATAAATAAAATCTTAAAAAAAAAAAACAAAAAACAATCAGTCCCAGCAAAAGAAATTTCATTCTCAGGGAAATGCTAAAATTAGTCACTATAAGTATATCCCTTAGAAATATTTCATACTCTACATACAGACCCCAGCACTTTTTCATCTCCCATTAAGGAAAAAGTATCACAACACAAGCTGTTTTTTAAAAAGCAAAGATAAATTGAACTGTAATAACAGAATTGACTTTACATTTGTTTTTTTATTCATCATGCAAAGCTATTGTAGTGAACTTTAAAAATAATTTTTTAGATCCAGAATTTGAATAATTAATTTTTTCAAAGTTTATTTATTTTTTTTAGTAATCTCTACACCCACTGTGAGGCTCGAACTCAGGACCCCAAGATCAGGAGCTGCATGCTCTTCTGACTGAGGCAGCCAGGCGCTCCAAATAATTAATTTTTACTTTTAAAAAAACGGTCGGAAATCAAATGCACTCTGAGTTTGGAAGGACACGGCTGCCGCTCTGCCTGGTGGAGGCCCCTTTGCAGAGGCTGCCTCTGCACTTCAGCTGACCCGGGCAGGGTCACAGAAGGTTCTGGAACCCAGGAGCCCCCAAGTCTAGCAGCAGCACACAAATTACTCCAACTTTCTCTTTATTCCCCTGGCAACATAATAAACCAAGAGGATAAAAACCATAGGTATATTGGTAATTCATAGCTTTCAACAATTAAAAATCATAAAAGGGCGATGTAAACACCAGCATTTCTTAAACTTGACCAGCTGATCTTAAAAAAGGAGAGAAATCACAGATCTCCCTCCTGTGTTGATCTAAATTATTTAATGAATAAACAAAAAACTAATGTGCTTACAGCTCTTATAGAACCATGTGACCAAAACTACAGAACCATGGGGTTTCAAAATTAGCAACAATTTATGTTGGTGGATTTTGTTATTTTGCTGAAAGTAGATAATCAATGCTGGATTTACAGAAAAGAGATAAAGCCCCAGGGCCCATGTGTATATTTTGACTTCAGTTATATGAATGCAGAAAATGCCTGTTTGCACAAGTACATTCCACAAAGCAATGTTCAACACCTCAAGGCTTTGTTATCTAGTTCAAATTCAGACTTCACACTTACCCAAATCTATGACCGTGAACAGATTTTAATCGAATGTTACTTGATTATTACATAAGACCATCTTGCTCTTTGAAATAAAAATTGGAAGGCACCATTACTGAAAACTGCTTTTGTGGGTGTGTTTCAATTGGTACCAAGAAAATAATATCTGATATCTGATTTTTTTAATTACCACAAATGGAGAAAATTCTACTTTCAACACAGGCACCCACTGTCAAACTGCTGAAGAAAACCATTAACATTGGAAATGGCTCACTGTACCATTTTGAAAACATCTTATCCTTAAATTTAGTTAGCACTGCCAATGCCTTCAAAGAGGAATACTAACTACAGCAAAACCCTCAAACTTTTATTTTTTTTAAAAGATTTATTTATTCATTTTAGAGAGGCAGAGGAGCGGCAAAGGGAGAGAACCTCAAGCAGACTCCCTGCTGAGCAGGGAGCCCAGACACAGGACTTGATCCCACCACCTTGAGATCATGACCGGAGCTGAAACCAAGAGCCGGACGCTTAACCAACTGAGCCACCCAGGCACCCCTGGACTGATGGTATTAAACAAGGTGATAAATCAGGTGACTCAGAGGTATTACTTTTTAAAGTATATATTATCAAAGTAAAAATAAATAAAATTAAAAGATTCATAATCAAGATCCTATCAAACCCTATACTGAGAAACATTCAACAAGTTTCTTTTTCCTCTCAAGGACAAGGCTTGGAAAGCCTGCCCCACAACATGCGCTGGGGGACCCCTTCCTTGCCCAGCGCTGCCCGGAAACACTTGCTGCCCAGTCTTTGCAGACACAGGAAGGCACTGTCCCTGCAGCCATGAAATGAAACAGCAGAACCAAGTACCTCTTCTAAGTAGCAAAACTGGCACAGATCTGAGACACTATGAAGCCTCAGAAAAATGTCAGATTTGAACCTTCAGTGAAACTTGTCATTGAGCTTGACCTGCAAATGATTTCATAAAATCAAGAAGCAATGTATATGAGAACTTGGGGAGGCCACAGAAAAGTAAAGTATAGAATATCCAGGAATTTAAAAAGCATTCTGAGGCCTATGTACAGTGCCATGTGCTAGGGCATCAGCAAATACAAATTTGTTTGGGCTAAAATATGATAAAAGAACTTTCAAAGTCATTTTCAAATCTAATTGCAACATAGCAAACATGCTTTAAGAAGTCATCTCACTAAACAAAAGCCTAAAATGAATCTCTACCTAATGGCACACAAATATAAAGCCACTGAAAGCACAACAGAGAGTACTTTTTACGAAAGGAAAATAAAGATCCAGAGATTTCCACCTAACTGTAGGTTCACAGAAGGCACACATTTGCACCGTACCTGGTATCTTTACCTGATCCCCAGGTTCGAACTCCACATCCACCCATGTTGTCTTCGGTTCTGATTGCTCTAGAGAAAGAAAGAATATTCCCTTAAACTGGAAGGTGGTCTCCAGTCAATCTCCAAATCAGAAAAGCTGATCAGAAAAGCTGTCCCAGGATCAGCTCCCTCAGGAATAAGAGCACACTATATAAAGTCAACTAAATATTAACACATAACAGATTCGTACCATGTATCACCAAGACCATAAAGCGAAAACAGCAGTTCCAGAGGAACTGACATTTTCTCATTCCCACCATACCTCTCAAAATCTCGTTTCCCTCTCTGGTCAAAACCGTCGAAAGCTCTGTTCCCGGGGCCGCCTCTGCCTCGGCTTCGCATGGCCCCTCTTGGGCCTCCACGGCCTCTCAGGGGTCTGTCTCGATCAAACCTGTCAATGGGTCTAGAAAGAGACGGGTATAATCAAAAGTGGTGAACTGCATTAAAGGGCTAAGAAGACTCTTTTCAGAAAAAAAATTCTAGAAGGACACGATGGCTGAAATATACTGGAAAGAACAGTGGCTTGAAAAATAAAGTAATAGTTAATGTTTACCGAATACTACTTACTACCTGAAGCACTGTTCTGAGCACGTCACATACAGAAATTAATTCTCATAAACAGAACTACAGTATACAACTATCGTCCACAAATCAGGAAACAAGAGGCACAAAGGAGGTAGGTAACTTGCCCAAGGTCATACGGCTGCTAGTGAGGATGCCAGATGAAAGAAGCAGGTCCTGGGCAGGTCTTACTGCGGAAGGACATCCTTTTCTCTGGATCTGGTTTCCTCATTTATAAAATGAGGTTAGATAAACTCCAAGATTCATCCCAGCTCTAATATTCAATATTCAAGTTAAATTTGGAATGTTTTGTATAACAGAAATAATTTAACTTCAAATTATGCCCCCTCCCAAATTTCCCTCTCCCAAACACAACCAGTGAGTGAGTGCATTGACCCCTATTCATCATTGGACACTGCTGACCGTTAATTTTCCTCTAACCTCTCTGACTTCTCTTTCCCTGCCTGTCCTTAGAAAACTATTTTTGTAATAGGTCATACTGAAACAGGGTACAAAATTCACAAGCTATTCCCCTTGCTCCTTGGCTACCCAATTCCACTTCTCACAGGTAGGCACATCCAGAGTCACATAAAGGGACCAGTTCTATACCTTGCCTCTTTCATCTCACTAGTCTTGGTGCTCCACACACAGATGCCTCCCTCGTTCTTCCGGGTACCTGACTGTTCTTACGTGTACCTGCATTCCTGACTTCCTATTTCTGGCACACATCGTCCTCATCTCTACGCTACTGCTGTGTGACCTTCATTCATGTGACCCTGCGTCTCTCACTGGGGTCTCTGATTCCAGGCCACAAAGCCAGTTACTTCCTGGACATACCCTCTGTCCATGCCCTGGTCCTGCAGATACGTGACCAACACTGACCCCTTGCTCCTCCTATGGTCCCCAACTCACAGCACGAAAGTACCTAAGCCAAGAACCAGCTGTCTTCAACTGTCTTCCCTTCGTCCCCTGCCACATCCTCTGGCCCAAGGCCTGACTGCCCACCCACTTCTCCTCACACCCATTCCTGGCCACATCTCTAGTCAGTGTCATTTTTTTATGAGGACTTGAAGCTACTGTAGGAAGGTCATCTTTTTCATCATTACAACCTTATTTGAATAAGATAAATTATATTTGGCTCAAGCACCCAAACCGGAGATATGTTCCAGTCTACTGCTATGGCTGAAAATGTTACATTAAAAAGCTACTATGTGAGAGTGGGTAAAAAGATACAAAACTCACTATTCTCCTATTCAAAAAGATTAAAAAAATACAGAATCACCAATCATTAACTTTATGCAAGGCTCTTACAAGAAACATCATCCTAAATACATTCTCTAGGTTGGCTTTTCTCCTCCCACCTCCTCCATCCCTACCAAAACAAAATTTGTATTCTTTTTTTTTTTTAATATTTATTTATTTTAGAGAGAGAAAAAGAATGTGCGCATGTGGCGTGGAAGGACAGAAGGAGAGGGAGAGAATCTTAAGCAGACTCCCTACTGAGCGTGGAACCCACGCGGGACTTGATCTCACCACCCTGAGATCATGACCTGAGCCGAAATCAAGAGTCAGCTGCTTAACAGACTGAGGCTCCCAGGCGCCCCAAAACAAAATTTTTAAATAGAAATTGTCATAAAATTGATTACATGTTGATAAATATCTGAAGCAGAGTTCTAAAACAATGACAAAATTAAAGTAACAGTAAGTTCTTAACAAGGGAGTTGGACAGGGCCATAAAAGAAAAAAAAATGTACTTAAATATTGAGAGGAAATGAAACGCCAAAACATACATGGAAAATAATGCCAACAGTCAAAATCAGGTCTAAATTTTCATGAAATCTACATCAGATACCAATAAAACACAAAGGCCTTTAAAATATAATAGTGATTGAAACTGACCCTAAAATAGCCCTGTGTGTTCTGGTTTATTTTAATCCCTTGAACCATTTTTTTCTTTACTCCCCAGATTACCCACCCCCTTCCCCCAATTAAATCTATTCTCAATTACTTCTCTATAATCCCTTGATCATAAAACATATCCTCTCTGTGCTTGTGTTGGCAGCACATATACTAAAAGGTGGAACAATAAAACATATTCTTTTTTTTTTTTTTTTACAGGTTAGTGAGCATTGAGAAGCCCTGTACTCTATTTAGGAAGCTTGATTTGTGTTGTACTCACAAGCAAAAGCAAGGAAAATAACATTTCAGCCAAGCACCGTGCTTTACATCCCTGTAATCCACTCTCTGACAATAATCCTCATAAGCAGACACAAGTACCTGTTTACAGGTAAAGGGAATGAAGTTCATGGAGGGGAAAGTGAGGGGTTAGTGTTTACTGGGTATAGAGTTTCACTCTGGAAAGATAAAAATGTTCTGGAGAAGGATGGTGGTGCTGGTTGTACAACAATGTGAATGTATTTAATGCACTGCACTGCCATACATTTATAAGTGATTAAAATAGTAAATGTTATGCTATATATATTTTATCCCAATTTTTAAAAATGCTTCCTTATGAGAAGAAAAAAAAACCAAACAAACATCTGAGTAAGTGATTCTTTCAGAACTGGAACAGACTTTGAATGACCAGGAGTAAACTTCAGGAAGAGCCAAAGAGTCAAAATAATCCAGACAGAAGCAGACTAATTTCCTAATAGCCTATGTTCAAAGAGTTCACTTAAGTTCATTATTTGGAGCCTAAAGAAAAATTCCTCCTGCATTAAAAACAGTAGTGGTGCGCCCCCCACCCCCCACCATATGCAAGATACCTGGCTGATCTCTGCACCTGAGCCCCATGGACAGCTACTCCCAGCACCATTTCTGACACTGCTTCTATATGAAAATATGTGTTCTGCCTTAGTGGAATAAAAATCCACGTGAGCCGGCTGTGACCAGAGTACCCATCACTGCAACTCTGGGTCTTTGTTTCCCCAATCATAAACATGGACAGGACTTAATTAGATATAGTCTGTTAAGATTATCAAGATTCTAGGGGGGCCTGGGTGGATCAGTCGATTAAGCATCCGACTCTTGACTTCAGCTCAGGTAATGATCTCAGGGTTGTGAGAATGAGCCTGCGTCTGGCTCTACGGTGGGCATGGAACCTGCTTAAGATCCTCTTTCTCCCTCTCCCTCTGGCCCATCCTCTGTGCATGCATGCTCTCTCTCTTAAAAAAAAAAAAAAAAAAATATTATCAGGATTCTATAATTCTGTCCAATAAACATGTATAGGTATCATTGAAAACGCAAGGTGATATTTTTCACTATCAAATAAGCAAAGAAGAAAGTTCAATTTATTATATTCAAACCTCGAGAAAGAGCTATGAGAAATGCTCTTATAGACTGTTAGTGATAGAGTAAGTGGGCAGGTTACTAGGACAGTGATTGGGTCACTATGTATCAAAAGATCCCCCCTTACCCTAATTTGTTTTCACACTCTATGTACCCAACCAAACTTGCACTAAAGCACAAACTGGGTCCTAGGATACATGACACCCAGTTAAGGACCACTGCTTTATGGTTCCCACTTCTAGAATTCCCATCTAGGAACGGTCCAACCCTAAGGGAATGATTACATTGTACTGCATCCAAACAACACATAATAGAACCATAAAAAATGTTTACCAAACATTGTTAAGGACATGGAAAACACTTCTGCCATGTCAAGTGGAATTGAAAGCATATAAAGGACTCAGTACATATGTATTATCATCTTAATATTTAAGTGTATCTATGTATAAGAAAAAAAGGAAAAAATTAGGCCAGTGTTAAGAGTAATCATCTTAGATGGTAAGATAAGTAGTTTTAATTTTCTTTATAATTGCATGCATTTTCTAAATGGTCAAATTACCTTATGGATCTTTATTAATAGGAGAGTACTTTTTAAGAAATTAAGGAAAATAACTTTTCTGATAGTACATGACTTATCAAAAATAATTTCAAATTTCCTTGGAGGTAAAAATTACCTACATATACCTAATGTAATACAAGAGAAGGACACGAGACATCACTTCTGTGGTATTCCTGCCAGAGTGCATAATATCATTCCATAAAGAAACATCAGACAGGGCACCTGGGTGGCTCAGTTGGTTAGGCGACTGCCTTCGGCTCGGGTCATGATCCTGGAGTCCGGGATCGAGTCCCGCATCGGGCTCCCTGCTCAGCGGGGGGGTCTGCTTCTCCCTCTGACCCTCCCCCCTCTCATGTGCTCTCTCTCTCTCTCATATAAATAAGTAAAATCTTTAAAAAAAAAACAACAACATCAGACAAACTCAAATTCTGGGCTGTCCTACAAAATAACTGGCCCACACTCTTCCAAAATGTCAAAGTCATAAAAGATAAAGGAAGACTAAGGAGCTGTTCTACATTAAAGACAACTAAGTGCAATGCACATTCCTGGACTGCATCCTGAACCAGGCTTTTTTTTTTTCTTTTGCTAAAAGGGCATTATTAGGACAACTGGTGAAATGTGAGTACTCTGTAGATTACATGATTTAGAGGATTAGATAACAGAATTGTATCAGTGTTAAAGAGTTGGATAACTGTACCATGTTTTTAGGAAATACATTTAAAGTATTTAGGGATAAAGAGATATTTCTGTACCTTACTCCTAAATGTCAAAGAAAAAAGGTGTGTGTGTGTGTGTGTGTGTGTGTGTGTGTGTAAAGGAAGGGAAGGAGGGGGGTATGATAATGGAAATGTTAACATTTGGGGAATCTGGGTGGGGATATATAGGAATTCTTTGTCTAAGTCTTGCAACTTTCTATAAATCTGAAATTATTTTTAAAGAAAAAGAAAAATCCCTCCATAATCCTGTATCCCACCCTACCCCCACCCTTATATACATGTATGATTTCACTTAATAGGCATTGTTTTGTGTTAACATATACTCACCCTTTTTAAGGACTCATTTTGCTACTTAAAAAAGCTGAAAACATGAGTTTGTGCTTTTGAGCTATGATTTCCTTATCTCCACAGAATAAATCCCTGAAGTGAGAAAAAAAATACACATATGCTTCCCCAAATAAATAGCTCTGATCCAGAAGGTTTTTTGTAAGCAAGCAGACTATAGCCATTACACAGCAAAATTGAAGTAATCACCAAAAATAGCAGAATTAAGCCTTTCTCTTCCCTCACCCTCCAACATGGCGGCAGATACAGCATCTTGATGTTCTGACCATGTAACTTCTAGGGAACAGATCTGTTAAAGTCACCGCCTGCCTCTGCCCTCCCAGACTGAGCTACTCTGCTGGACTTTTGCACTTTTGGGGAGGGTGGGGGTGGTTAATGAACATGGTTTTACAAAGCCATGTCCTTTGGTTAACTTGTAGCCAGGATCCTAAATGGAATCAGTAGTCAAGAAGTTGAAAGACTCTGGGACTAATGGCTCCCTTGTCATGAAACTACTCACAGCCGATAGTGTCAACACATACTGTTCTAGTCTCCCTCAGCCTTTTCTACCTATTTTCCTTTAAATGTGATTCACAAGTTGTTTGTTTAATCTAAACTCAGTGTTGTGCAGGTTGAATTATTAAACAAAAACCTGAGGCAGCGGGCACCTGTCATGTTGGTAGCAAGCAGGAGACCCCGAGAACTGCTCTCCATGTCCAGGTAGGCACAGGTAGCCCGCCCACTGCCCCATCACTCAGGAGTGGCGTCCAGCCACACCAGCCTGAGACCACCTTCCAGTTCAGAGCACTTTCTAGAGGAAGGTATGGGATCCAGAAATTGGTGTCACACACTGTATCAGTTCTTAAAATGTCATCATGATAGCCAATTGGCCTAACCATGGGGCCAGGAACTTGTTTAAATTTGTTAGCAGTCTAATGGACTCTGAGAAACAAACTGAGGGTTCTAGAGGGGAGGGGGTGGGGGGATGGGTTAGCCTGGTGATGGGTATTGAGGAGGGCACATTCTGCATGGAGCACTGCGTGTTATACGCAAACAATGAATCGAATCATGGAACACTACATCAAAAACTAATGATGTGATGTATGGTGATTAACATAATAATAACAAAAATAAATAAATTTGTTAGTAGTCTAAATTAGTAATATTAAGTCAAAACCATAATTATATCCCAAGCCTAAACTGCAAAAGAAAGTTTAACCAGTTTAACAGACTCCTGTCTAGCTTTTTACAGGAGTGCTTTGTGTAGTTATACCAATAAATAATTCATTTTTCACCATATAATCATTTCCCTCCTGTGTCACCTAAAGTAACTGCCAACTTCAATCGGCAAAATAATCCCAGGACTGGCACCATGAAAAGGTAGCAGTTCTCTTAAAACCCTCTGGCTCCCCACCAACCCTCCTGGCCGAGGTCTGCAGTACATACTTTTCATCTGTGAACTTCTCAGGTGTAAAGTCCGCCTGTCTCTCGGTCTCATAGGGTCGATACTCCCTGTAGGATCTGCGCTCTGCTCGGTCAAGTGTCACCTCCGTCCCCCGGATGTCATTCCATCCCTGTTGCTCCCCTCTTCTGGGAGCTCGCCTCTGGCCTGCCAGGGACAAATCAGAAGGGACAGCTGGGACACCAGGTCCATGACAGCATGTTTACAGAGAGTTTTAAATTCCACTTTTCTGGAAGTCAAAGTCATAGGAAAATCTGGGAAGTTCAGAAACATTCAGAGAAGAAAAAAGTTGTGGATACTGCCAGGGCCCAGAGTCAACTACAGTTGACCCTCGAGCAACACCGGTTTGAAGTGCGTGGCCCCACGCAGGCCTGGATTTTTTTAGATACAGTACAGTGGTGTCAATGTATTGTCTTCTCTAGCTTATCTGCTGTAAGAATACAATACATAATACATACACAAAATACACACTAACTGACTGTTGTTGGTAAGGCTTCCAGTCAACAGTAGGGTATTAGTAGTGAAGTTTTTGGGAAGTCAAAAATTATATGTGGATTTTTACCTGCACGGGAGGTTGGTGCCCCTAATCCCCACCACGTTGCTTGAGGGTCAACTGTACTTCCTAATAAAACTTTTAAGATACTTATGTTCTCTCTCTTTTGTCCTAGGAAATATAAACTATACCAACTAACCTATAATGACAGGTATCTCACAGAGTGTGACAGCTCTGGATAGACATGTTTGCTAAACTAACTACTTTTGACAAAAGCAACTTTATTAAAACATGGTAGTTAAGCTCCATACAGAACAATTAAAGGATAAACACTCTGTATTTCAGACTGCAGTTTAGATAAACTACGGTTTATCATTGACTACTAAGGTTTTCATTTCTAAATAGTCGTACTGTTTATCTTTTTTTGCTTGAAAACAAATTTTCCTGCTCTCGTGCTCTTTGTTGAGTTTTATGCATTTATGATCATACTTCTCAATATGAGGCCAAGCTGCTATTTGCCAACTCATACAAGGACCAGTCGGCACTCAAAGGGACATCTCTCATTTGCAGAGAAACCAGCACTCAGCCATGGCCACTACAGGCTTCAATCTCTCGCTCTCTCTCACTTTACTCCTCTCTAGTTTTGATGCTTTAAAAATACTTAGATTCCATGTCTGAAGGCAGCTAATACTTGGTAAATACACTGTGAAGAAATCTGTCGCCTCTTAAATCATCTCCCAAAAATGTATTTATTTTTCCTTATATGCATTTAAAAGGTCTCCATCTCAAACAGGGGATGTACTATTTTTATTATAGTAGCTTCGATTTTCCTTGGTATAGCTTACCCTTCACATTGGTTGTATGGCTATAAAAATATTAAATGTATTTGAGTTAATGGGTATTTTTTAAATTCCTAGATTCCTCTCTTACTTAGATAACACATGACTCTTAAGGAATATATGTTTATACATATTTTTGTTTTCCTACTGAATATTTCCTATCTGAACTTTTTCCTGGGCACATGTAAATATTAACATAGTTCCAATACCTTACTGATCCCATTTTAAAGCAAAAATCAAGTCTGTGACACCACTAACATAAAACTGTGCAATTTATTACTTGTTAGTTAACATCAACTTTTTTTCAAATGTGACAAGTTACATAATAAATCTAAGTTCAATTTTAAGCTAATGTCCCATAACCTAGCGATGCTTACATCCAGTTGGCAGCCTGTACTGATGCCACAGTCTAGCTTATGATATGTTTGGGACATGGGAAAGATGCTGTCATAAATAGATCATTAAGCTTCTCTTGCAGAAACAAAAAAGAGACTGACACTTGTCCCAGGAGTATGCAATGCCAGATCTGAGGGCATGTACGTTACTAATAGAGATCCAATTTGAAACGTTAGGCAGAAAATGTTATTACGAAAGTTAATTATCTAACAAGTCGAAAACTACAATAGACTATGAAATCAGCTAATATGCCAACAGCAACAATACTTTTCAATACTTTTCCCTCAATGTAAAAAGTTATTTTAATGCAGCTTCAAACTTCCTATTTATAACCTATTTTTAAAAATCTTAATATTTCCACTTAACTACAGAATTATTTAGGAGCTATCCCACCTTTTTGCTTCCTCAAGGTTATTTTTTTAAATGTATCAATTAAATTTGGAACTCACCATTCAAAACTTAAAATGACATTTACTGCATACTTTGTATTAAAACGTCTCCCAAAGTTTTGGTGTACAAATTAAAAACCATTAAATACAACTGGCTACTTATTAGAATAATTATAAATACACTGCAAACATTTCATTCTCTCCGCAAAACCCAAAGATAAAAGGGGTCCAGTTTTTTCCCCACGATTTAGTGCTACGAGATCAAGATTGCAACTGAACCTAGTTTGTTTCTGTGCTGGGTCAGCAGCTCCAAGCAGATAATGCAAACACTGAATTCCTCTAGCCCTTTCCAATAAAAGCCTGGCACATGCAGTCTGATCACTGTTCTAAACCCAAGCCCGTATGAAGGGACAGAATACAATAAAATTTACAGAGAGATTTCCTACAAAATAAAGTTGAGCTTTGACTCAAAGACAATAGTTCTGAAAGGTTAGGAAAAGTGAAGCTGAAATAGCCTCTATGGATTTCAAGAATGAACTTCTTGAACAAGGCTCATCCAAGGATCTATGTATGTTGTTAAATAGTGAAGGGCATTAAAAATCTGTTTCTATGGGAAAATCTTATGATTTTCACATCCACATCCAAAAATGTTTCCAATAAATGTCAAACATGTTTTGACTTTGATTCTTGTCCACACTGAGCATTCACTTATAATATTCTAACTAAATTAAAAATTTTGAATGTTAGAAAAGTACAGTCCATATCAATTAGGGCTACAAAACCTTTAGAGAGTAGCTCTCTATAAATTTAGTACAGTAACTACCTGAATGGAAATTAATGAGTTGTTTGCTCCTGAAATAACACGTCTGAAAAAGAACTGACAAATGACAAAATTACCATTTTAACTAAAAAATTCACAAAAGATCTTTAATATAGATCTAGATATAAAAGTCAGATCATCTGGATCATGAACAATTGACAGAAAAATGTTACAAACCCACTAGTTAAAATGCTAAGTGAAAGCAGGTTGTAACTCAGTTTATATATCATTTAAATTTAGGAAAAAAGAAATAGCTCTGTATGTACATAAATGCAAGGTGTTAACAAGTAAGAAAAATAGGAGATTTTTACTTCATACATTTTGGAATTGTTCAAAATTCTTATAATAAAAATGCATGATTTTTAATATTAAAACGGTTAAAAAGCAATATATTAACAGATAGCACTGAATGCAGTTTCATACTATTCTAAAGGATACATTATTTTCATTTGTTAAAAAGTAAAGGGAGAGGAAACGCTTAGCCTTCCTCAGTTCTTTCATTACTATATTTATCTAAATAGATATATGAGAAAAATGAGAACATAACACAAAATGTACAATGTATCTCATCTCATTCACCGTTTAAAGAGGCTCATAAACGTACTGGCCTACCAGCATTGGGTTTTCAGATATCCAGTAGCATTTAAAATAATTTTCAACATCTTTATTACAGTGACTTTTCTCATTCTCTAGTGATATTGTGGGACTGAAGTTTTCACAGATAAAGGTAAACATTACCTAGCTGCCCAAAGTCACTTAAGTCAGAAGTTGTAATCTCAGGGCTGGGAAGCACGGTTGTAATCAAGGAACAAGCCAGTAAAGCCGAGTTGAATACAATGGCTCGAGTGGTCGAACCACACATCTTCACACTCGTTTAAAGCAAACCCTAGGACCACTGCCTTATTTTAGGAAAACACTGGAAACACAGGTGGAGTCTTGCAGACTAGGAGCTGATGCAGTTCAGGTGATAAACGACTCTTAAGCACCCTCCCTGGCTAGATGCGGACAGGGGTATCTGGCTAAGCAGGGTGTGGGGAACTTTGAATATTCTTGTTGAAAAGGTTAAAAGTTAAAAACGCTTTTCTTAAAGCAGCCTGAGTTAATGACAAGTTACACATCCCAACGACACTACATGCTGTGTTGAAAAATGATGCGGGCTGGCTGCTGGAAGCCACCGTAAGGGGATGGGTGTACGGTGATGGGGTGAAGTTACGGAGCCTGGAAAGAGCCGGGGACCCCGCGTCCGCCCCCGCCGCATCCTGCTCGCGGCCCTGACGTCACAGCCCGCCCCCGCGGTCACCCAGGCCTTCGCTCCATCACAGAGGCCCGAGCCCCTCACCCCCGCGATTCTTCACACACCCTGGGCTCTCGCCACCACCTCCCGCGGCCGGGTGCGCCCTCCTTCCTCACTCTCCCCTCACCACGCTTCTCTTTTTTTCCTCCCGACCCGAATCTTGCAATGGTTGGGCTGGAGGATGGAGCCGGTCCCTGCTAGCTCTAGATTTGAGCTCCCCGGGGTAGCGAACCCCAGTTATCCCCGCCACACACACCACCCCACCAGTACCCCTCAACTTTGCCCAACTTGTAAAGGCCCAGTTCCAGGATTGTGAGACCCTTACTCCACGCCCGCACTCCCCCCCACCCCCACAAGGGGCTGGGAAAGGCCAGAAGGGGCGTGACACCCCCCTCCCGTTCTCTTTTCCTACCTTCCTCCGCCACAAGGACTCTCAGCTTAACCCAAGCCTTCCCCGAGACCCCTTCCGTTTCTGGATCTGGACCCCCATGGGGGTCGAGAGGCGGCCGAGGAGGGGTGACCTCCGTGACCCCATTTTCCTTCCCCTCCCGCCCACCGCGCCTACCCGGGGGTGCCCAGGTGCCGGGCGGGGCACGCGTACCGGGTGGCAGCGGGCCGCCCCCGGGGCTGTCCGGCTGCTGCGCGCCGGGGGCCGGGAGGCTCTTGCGCTCCTTCTGGGACTCCCTCCGGCCGCCGCCCGCGCCAGGTCTGTGGCCCGAGGCCCCGGCCGGACTCCTGCCGCCGCGGTTGCCGGCCCCGGCCGCCGCCGCCTCGTCGCGCCTCTTGCGCTGCAGCTGCTGCTGGCGCCGGTGCTCGGCCTCGCGCAGGATGTCGAACGGGTCCGACTCGTCGTCCAGCAGCTGGTGGAAGCGGTTGGCCACTACGCAGCCGAAACTCTCTTGCATCGCGGCGCCTGCGGCGGCCGCGGCCACGGGGCTCCCCAGAGCGCCCTTCATGCCCCGCGGCCACTGCGGGCCAGCCGCTGGCAGCCCACGCGAGCGAGTCTCAGCAAAGCCGGTGGCGAGGACCCATTCCGCCCGCCGCTGCCGCCCTCCCTGCCCTGCCCGATCCCGTCCCTCCCGGCGCCCGCCCCCACGCCGCCGCCACCGCTGCCCGCCCAGGCGCCGCCCGACAGCCAATCAGCGCACGCAGACACGCCCCCTTTCCTAGCCGGCATCCCTGGAAGCCCAATCAACGGCGGGCTGCTGTCACGTCACGCGACCTCTATGCCCCTCCCCCGACTCAGCAGAGAGGGGCGGGGCACGAGGGGCGGAGCTACTGGGAGGAGCAAAGAGTCTAGTCAGTCCAGGCAGCTCGGCTGTGCGGGTGGGTCACAGCCATTATTTGTATTCTTTCTGGGATTGGGTCTGTATTCATTATGGGCCACTCTTTTTTGAAGTTTATATATTCATCTAGCCATTCAACTACGTATTGAACACTTATGTGCCAGGCATTATGTCGTCAGAGATACTAGCTCCGTGTTTTCGTGGATCTTAGTCTATAGACAGAAAACTGCCCTAAACGAAAGGCAAAGACTTTTTTACGCGCCCGAAGCGAAGGGACCTGACCTAATTAGGAGACCTGGAAAGGCTTTCCCTCGGAAGTGACGGTTAAACTGAGATACGAGGGATGACAGGGGCAGGAGCAACCGCAAGTACAGATGTCTTGAAGTGGGATGGAGCACAACCCATTGAAACTCAAAGGAAACCATTGTAACTGAATTGCAAAGAGCTGGGGGAGACCCTCACTTTGATCTTTATTCTAGGAGCAGTGGGAAGCAAATTTTAAGCCTAAGCATGTATTTAAAAAGGCCAAAAGGCCACTCTAGCTGAAATGCGAAGGACTAGGTTGGAGGCAGGTCAGAATGGCTGCAACGAGACCAAGCAAAAGATTGTTGCCGAGCTCCAGGGAAGAGTTGATGCATGTGACTTGAATTAGAATGGTGGCAGTGCAGGTGAAGAGACTACTAGATGCAAGAGCTATTTGGGAGGTTATCATAACAGGACTTCGTGATGCGCTAGATAGGGGTGTTGAGGAAAAAGAAGAGGGTATGATGACTCCTGTATTTCTGGCTTCTACAGCGGGAATGGTGGTGCATTCCAAAGAAATAGAGCACTGGAAGAGATCATTTTGATCAGAAGCATGAATTCAGTTTTGGACATGTTGAGGTTTTGTTTCATTTGTTTGTTTGGTTTTCAATTGAGGCCTGGAGCTCAGAGAGCTCTGAACTGGGCAATCCTCCAGGAAGTTGTGCTGGCACTTGCCTGCCTATCCCATAGCCCTTCCTTTTCCTCTTACATTTTCCCAGAACCTGTATTTTGTTAGGGCATCAGGTGGCTGTACAGCCCAGGGGAAGCTGGGCCCCCTTCCAGCCTCAAACTTGATTAATCTTAAATCATGCACTGTAATTCCATACTCTTGCCAATGATTGGTGTAGGAATAGGCTCTTGGTGCAGATCTTCTCTGGGGGGAAGTATTCTGGAGGATTCCTGAGAACATTTTTCTTATATCTAAAAACAGGCTGAGAAGGGATCTGCCGTTTCCCACCTCTATGCTTTGCTCCTTGTTATGTGAAGAGGACATAACGCCTGGAGTTGCTGTCCCTTATTGTGACTATGAGAATGGCAGAGCAGAAGGATGAAGAAAACCTAATTCCTTGATTATCCCACTGGGAAAACTCCCAACTCAGACTTTTTATGTAAGATGATAAATAACATTATTGTTTAATATTAGATTAAACAGCATTCAAAAGCATCCTGTTAGAGCATCTTGCTCAGGTGTGTGATCACCAGCTTTTGTTTTCCTTTAATAGCAAATGGAAAAGGAAATCTTTACCTTGACTGCTGCCAGGTTTGTGTTTTACTCACTTATTCAATTTTCTGTCATTCCCAAGGAGGACAGGGATGATGCCTGTCTTTCACTGCATTCTTATTCATTGCAATTTATATTCCCAGTGCTTAGCATTCTAGGTAGTTGTATGGTAGGTCCTCAGTAAGTATTTGTTGAATGACTGAAGATTTTAAGATATTTGGTCATCTCCTTTTTGGAGTCAGCAGAGGTTTATGATCAAAAGCTTATTCTATTTACCCAAAAGAATTGAGAGCAGGTGTTCAAACAAAAACTTGTACATGAATGTTCAGAGCAGTACTACTCACAATAGCCAAAAGGTGGAAACAACCCAAATGCACAATAGTGCACTCGGTGAACTTTCGGAGTCATTGGCCCTATGGGTTGGGGCAGCCTGAGCCAGGGGTCTTGTGCCAACATGCTTCAAAGCCTTGTTAAAGATGTTTGGGTCCCCATGAAGCCCTACTATACCCAGGTTTACCAGGAGATTTGGGTAGGAATGGGGTTGATGGGTTTCATTGTTTATAAAATCAGGAGTGCTGTTAAAAGAAGTAAAGCTTTGAAAGCTTCAAGTCCTGCACCTGCTCATGGTCATCATAAACCAGCTTTACTTGGGAATACACATCAGATGGAATGTCAGTTTGGCTGTAAATTTCAGCAAGCTCTGTTAAATGGGAACATGGAGCATCGGGTACACTTGTAGACATGTTGTTTCCTTTGTGGCATGAATAAATGTACCTGTGATGTGCCAAAAAAAAAAAAATGCCTACAATAGTAAATTTTATGTGTATCTTACCACAATTTTTATTTATTTATTTATTTATTTTTAAAAGATTTTATTTATTTATTTGAGAGAGAGAGAATGAGAGACAGAGAGCATGAGAGGGAGGAGGGTCAGAGGGAGAAGCAGACTCCCTGCCGAGCAGAAAGCCCGATGCGGGACTCGATCCCAGGACTCCAGGATCATGACCTGAGCCGAAGGCAGTCGCTTAACCAACTGAGCCACCCAGGCGCCCCTCTTACCACAATTTTTACAGCATATATTTTGGAGTTAGCCCAAATTTGAATCCTGGCTCTGCCACTGATTCAATTTGTGACCTTGGAAATGTTCCTTATTTCTGTGTCTCAGTTTTCTCATCCGTAAAATGGAAAAAATAATGATACCTACTGCAGGGGATTATTGTGAAAACTGGGTCAGATAATGCATAGGAGGTGTTCAGCACCATGCTTGGCACAAAGTAAGTGGTCAGCAAAAGTCATCAACGTTATTAGTATCATCATTTTGAATCAGACTTAAGACTAGGTAGAGTCATAATGACACCTTATCATTATGAGGTGGATGAAATTTCCCAAGATTCTTCATGCAACATCACCACATGCACCAGAGACCATATTTGAGAAGCACTGCTTCAAGCCAGAGTTGTCTCTGGTATCTTTAAGCTGTCCATCACCAAGCAACAACACCAAAGAACCATTACCATATGAGAGAGGGCCTGTCATCTTCCTACTGGACATCTGGAGACAGCCCACACCCCCATTTCCTTTCCGACGTAGCCAACCACAGCAGGTTCTTAAGGTATGCCCTGTGAGCACTGCATCCTAATTTCCAAATCATAACTTCCTAAAACAGTTGTAAGTCAACCAATCCTGGGTGCTTCAAGTTTAAGAACACCTTTAGAACCACTGAAATAGAGATGAGTAGCCTCTAGCTGGCATTAGCTGGCCATGGGTTTCCTTTGGGGCTATTGATTACCATAGAATTTACTGAGGGTAACTTATTAAGCAGCCTCACATTTTTTCCTATTTTTCTGCGAGAGATTACATCCTTAAATGCATTCCTGAAATACAACTCTACCACATTAGCATGAGTTATTTGTAACGTTGTGTTTAATGTGGTCAATTTAATAGACTGATATTTTTAATAATCCAATATATAAAAGCCATCTTTAGTAATTATAATACCAAACAGAAAACACACACACAACACACACACACACACACACACATAACTTAGAAAATAAAGCATACCAAAAAAGCAGTGGGGAGTGCTGAATAACACCACCAGCATTTCCATAGCAGTCATTTATCAGCACCAGTGGAAATGCAGTAAAATTTAACTACTTACAAAATGTTAATTACCTTGAGTTACTTAATATACAAATTCCATTAGGAACAGTAAAATACAATACACTAAAATCTTCCAGATGGACTTGAAATTCACAGAAAGATCAGAGTTTAAAGACATGTAGCTGTATTACTGTTAGATACATGCAGGGATCAAGGCACAGGGGCCAGTCAAGCTGTAAGGGGTTTGAGTTTTTGTGAATCACCAATGAGTTGCATTCTATGTATTCTGTTTTGCCACTGGATTACTGCTACCCATTTGCCTACATTTTCTCTATAAAATTAGGATGATTATAATCAGTCCTATGTTCCTCATATGGTTGATGGGAAATAAAACCAAAGAATAAATTGAAAAGGGTAAAAAATATTATATTATTTTACAATTGTTTCTACTTGCTTATATAATATATGTAAGAACAAAATATTTTTCTTAACTCTAAGAGGATCTTATATTTTTCATGTCAGTTGAGTCCATTGTGATAAGATCAATAAAGTTATAGTTCCTGATCTAGTTGTTACAAGATTGGTAAGTGAATTTAAATTCAGTTTCCCACAGGAAATGAATAAAGCAAGTATGTAGTCTCAAAGTTAGGGGTTGTAGAACCAGAAACCAATAATAATCAGGATGCAACAAGAGAATATTTTGCAAGCCAAAGTCCATTCATGATGACCAGATACAGAATATTTAAATACAGAAAGGACCTTACCCAACCTGCTAATATTTGTGGTCTTGGTATCACTGAGGTTCCTTCCAGCTTTTTTCCTTACAGCAAGATGTTACAGGCTAGCACAGTTATGTGTATCCTCAGACCCCTGTGCTGATGGAACAGAATTGTATTCTAAGTTCCTACCATTAAAATCTTGATCTTGGTTGAAACTTTAATCAAAGCTAAATAAAATAATTCAGAATTCAGACCTTTTTCATTCCACATTTATTCAGGAATCCCAGAATTGGATCACTGGCCTCTCTTTGGTCATGTGTACACCTTTGAGCCAGTTGCTATAGTAAAGGGCATTTAGTTCTCTGATCAGCCTGGCCTGCGTCACCAGGCCAAGCTGGAGGCTGATTGTAGTCAGCCCCCTGAATGCTGGGAC